CCTTCCCTTCAAGGCTCAGGGGTCCAAGATTATCTTCTGTGTCTGTGTTAATTGGTTTCCCTTTTCTTCATTGAAGTGGATCTGTGCAGTCTTTCTGCCTAGTCTGCCATCTTGCCGGAACCTCCCATTTTGGTGTTTTCTTCCTCTCCTGTCTTCCTCATGACCTTTTGCTGTCCTCATGGATGAAGTTCTTGATGTCATCACACACTCATCTGGTTTTCGGTCACTGGTGTTCAATGCGTCAAATCTATTCTTCAGATGGTCTCTAAACTCAGGTAGGATGTAATCAAGGTCATATTTTGGGTCTTGTATACTTGTTTTAATTATCTTCAACTACAACTTGAACTTGCATATGAGCAATTAATGGTCTGTTCCTCAGTCAGCTCCTGGCTTTGTTTTGGCTGAGGATATTGAGCTTCTCCATCACTTGTTTCTACAGATGTAGTTGATTTGATTGCTGTGTATTCCATCTGGAAAAGTCCACGTGCACAGGCACTGTTTTCTTGTTGAAAAAAGATATTTGTAATTAATATGTCACTGATCTTGCAAAAGTCTATCATGTAATCTCCAGTGCAATTTTTTTATGAAGGCCGTATTTTCCAACTACTTGTGATTCTTTGTTTCTAACTTTTACATTCCAATCACCAGTAATAATCAAAACATCTTGATCACATATTTGGTCACACTGCAGAAGTTGGTAAAACTCTTAAATTTCCTCATCTTTGGCTTTGATGGTTGTGCATAAATTTGAGTAACAATAGTATTAATGGGTCTTCCTTGTAAGCCTATGGATATTATCCTATCACTGACAGCACTGTACTTCAGAATAGATCTTGAAACATTCTTTGTGATGATGAATACCACACCATTCCTCTTCAGTTTGCCATTCCCAGCATAGTAGATCATATTGATTATGTGAATCAAAATGGCCCAAATTGGTCCATTTTAGCTCACTAATGCCTAGGTTACTGATCTTTATACGTTCCATTTCATTTTTAACAACTTACAATTTTCCTAGATTCATACTTTGTACATTCCATGTTCTGATTATTAACGATGTTTGCAGCTGTTTCTTCCCATTTTGAGTCGTGCCACATCAGCATATGGAGGTCCCAAAAGGTTTACTCCATCCATGTCATTAAGGTTAACTCTACTTTGAGGAGGCAGCTCTTCCCCAGTCGTATTTTGAGTGCCTTCGACCTGAGGGGCTCATCTTTCAGCACTATATCAGACAAGGTTTCAGGGCTATTCGTAAAGTTTTCCTATAACATATCGGTTTTTCACTGCTATTCATAAGGTTTTCATTGGTCAATACTTTGAGATGTGGATGGCCCCTTCCTTCTTCTGAGTCTATCTTAGTCTGGAAGCTCCACTGAAACCTGCCCACCATGGTTGATCCTGCTGGTATTTGAAATACTGGTGGCATAGCCTCCAGCCTCAGAACAATACACAAGCCATCACAGTATGGCAAATTGACCAGTGGTGGTACCTAAGCACGTCCTGGCCTGGCGGTTTAAAGACCCTCGGGGGTTGCCAGTCTGCTGCGGTTTGGGGTCGTAGGCTTGCAGGGAGTTGGGTGTCCTCGTCCTCTTCCCCCTAGAATCCACCCCCAGGCCACAGTGCTGCACCACACCCACTGACCTGGAAGCTTTTGGGAAGGGGAACTCTATGGCTGACATGGCTGCACGGGCATGCACGTGAGCACCCATGTCATGGCGGCAGAAACTTGCAGGTGCCTCCTTACTATATAGTATCATATATCTCTACTTTGTAGCCTTTACCACAGTTGCAATTTTATATTTATTTATGCAAGTCTTTTCAGTTCTCAGGAGCTCTGGTAGCACAGTACCTAAGGCATCTGACTGTTAACCAGAAGGTTGGTAGTTCAAACCCACCAGCCATTCCAGGGAAGCAAGCCTGGGCAATCTACTTCTGTAAAGATTCACTGCTTCAGAAATCCAATTGGCGTTGCTATGAGTAGGAATCAACTTGGTGGCAGTGTTTTTTTTTTTTTCCCCCAGTGTCTAACTCCACCAGAGTATAATAATCTCCATGAATGAGGATATTGACAACACTTGTTTTTGCTCATCAAACCTAGTGCCCAGAAGAGAACTTGGCACACAGTAAAATGGTGCTCAAAAAATAATTGCTTTGTGAATAAAAATTTCTAAGTAAGTCTAAAGAAGAGTAACATGCAAGAACATTAAAAATAGTGAGATGGGCTCACCATATGAAGATATAATCAATTAAACGTAAAAATACAAAAATAGTTAAAGGAGCCCCGGTGATGGAGTAGTAAAAGTGTTTAGCTGCTAACCAAAAGGTTGAAAGTTTGAACCTTGCATTTACTCCATGGAAGAAAAATGTGGCAGTCTACTTCTGTAAAGATTACAGCCTTGGAAACCATAGAGGGCAGTTCTACTCTGTCCTATAGGGTTGCTATGAGTCAGAATAGACAGAATAGACTTCATAGCAATGGTTTTTTTTTGGTACTAAGTGTTAGTCACTTTATAAATAACATCTCATTTAATCCTTACAGGAATCTTATAAGGTAGATATTATCCTTGTTTTAAGGCATGGAAACTGAGGCACAGAGAGATCAAATAAGTGACTTTCTAAAGTCACCTAACTAGTAAATGAATAAGCTGAGATTGAAGCTCAAGTCTCTTCAAAGGTCTTCACTGCTTTTACTAATACTGTATTTTCTACTCACCCCTCCTATAAACACCCCCCATTACATACTTCAATAAACCACCCTCCTACTAGTCAACAAAAGCCTCCATTTTCGCAGTATTCAGAGAGTCTTTCAAAGGCAGCAGAAATGGATTTATGCCTTGAAATTTGCCTCTAAAGGCTCCCAGTTTTACTATGGCTAAATTATCTGTGTATAAACTGGTGCCAGGAGTAAGATAAAACACATATAGTCCCCAAGCAGATGCACTGCTTTCTAGTTTGGAAACCTTGGAATTTAAACTTGTTCAACATTAACAATACATGTTTTCAAACATTCTTTACCAAACTATATTCAATGATTATGTATACACACATACATGTACACGTAACACAAACACACGTACACATATATATATCTCTTTTAATTATAAGAGTCCAGATTCTATGGTCCTGATTCACATTTTAGTAAGTTTATGCATCTTGAAAGAGTAATACTTACCTTATAAACTCAAACACAGAAAAGTACAAAGTAAAAAAAGGCTCAAATTCTACCACCCAGCATTTTGCTAACAACTTCTCATATTTCTCTCTCTATATATATATACAATATATATAATTTTTCATAAATTATTTTATACCATATATGCTGTTCTATAATCCTGTCTTCTTCCCACTCCAGAATGTATTATGGACATTTCAATTGCATGTACACCTAATACCACATGCAGTTACTAGGAATCTAGTCCACAAACTAAAGACATGTCTTATAATATTCTAGCTTAATGCGTTAAAAAATTCCTTTTCATAATGAACAAATAAGATAATTTATTGGCTCAAAGAAAACTGATGTGCAACACAGGGTAGCTTTTCCTCAAACTCCAATCTCTTCTTGCATCACAGGAAAGTTAATACTCTCTTCTTTGATATTTGATGCTTTTTGTTTTTTCAAGTAGCATATTCTAAAATAAGGGTCAGCAAACTACAGCCCTACTACTTGTTTTGATAAATCAAATTTTACTGGAGCAAAGCTATGCCTATTAATTTATATATTGTCTATGGCTGCTTCTGTACTATAATGGCAGAGTTGAGTACTATGTTATTATGCAAATAATGTGCATGTTACACAGTTGTTGCAAACAGTGCAATCCCTCCCTTAGTTTCCTATGAGTGATATGCGAGGTATATGCATGTGCATGTTATTTACATGAGCAAAAATACAGTAGTTGTACCCATATGGCTTGAAAAGCCTAAAATATTTATTACTGGGCCCTTTTCCAGAAAAAAATTGCTGACCTTTGTTCTTAAACATAATTTGCTCAAAGATGTAGTGAATTTAGACAAGGATAAAAATCTCTACGTTAACAAGTCAAACTACTCTCATAGTTACTATAAGAAGTATACAATTATAGGCCTAAGTGAATCAATTTTTAATGGTTTTAGTTCTCATATATAAAGAGGACTGAATATAAACAACTTACTTCATACACTTTGTTCCAGTTGTCTGTTTCTAATTTGTGTTGATTCTGTTTAAGTTGGTTTAAACTTGGCTTAATTAGAGAATTTCCTACTGTTTCCTTGGTCCAGTCATCTACCAGCTTGTGTAAGTCATCTGTGAACATCCCTTTTTTACTAGCTGGAGATTGCTGGCATGATACTGCATTATTGTCCAAACACAGTGTATCTGTAAGAAGGAAAAACAAAACAAAACAAAACAAAACAGGGAAACCATGAAATGGGATTAAAACTGGTAAATAATCTTCTTTGACAAAAATGAAGTTAATAGAACTATATATGGAGTATATATGTTCTAGTTTATCCGGGACAGTTAAAGTTTATAGCTCTGGACGTAGAGTAAAGAACATCTGGTGGCACAGTGGTTAAAGCATTTGGCTGCTCCCCAAAGGGTCAGTAATTTGAACCCACCAGCTACTCTGTTGGAGAAAGATGAGGCAGTCTGCTTCCATTAAGATTTACAGCCTTGGAATCCTTATGGGGCAAGTTCTACTCTCTCCTATAGGGTTGCTAAGAATTGGAACTGATGGCAGTAGGTTTGAGTTTGGGTTTGGTTTTGGTCCTGGAATAATTACTAACAGTACCCCTCTGCACTCGCAAAAGTTTCCTCTAGTTTGGACAGTAAATTACATGGTCATCTTAGGTATGTTGGCAGCCATCAAGTTGATCCCCGACTCACGGTGACCCCAAACACAGTACAATGAAATGCTGTCCAATCCTGAGTCATCCCCATGATTGGTTGCAGATCAGACTGTTGTGATTCACAGGATTTTCA